GAGGTGAGAACTATAGTCCAGGACCCTGCTTGACCTTTTGTTGTTTGGGGAGAGAACAAACCATAGCTGTCCAATGGGAGCGTTCATTCCCTCTGCTGAAAATCAGGAGAAACCTCTAGGTGAGAGGTGGCAGACAGAGGTGTGCACAGCCTCGCAGACATTCTTTTGCTGGCTGAGCAACTGTCGGCTGGGCATTCGGTTACAGCAGCCTGACCTGACTGAGACGGCGGGACAGAGTGTGAGGTTTCATGTAGAATTGCTGTCCCAAAAGTATAGGAAGGGGTGGGGAGGTAGACAACAGGCAGAAGCAGTATTTAAATGCCAGTGTCATGTGACCTAGGAATGCTGAGCCAGGGCTCCTACTGTCAATTAGCATCTTTAAAACACTCTTCACTGTGAAACAATACATGGAAAATATCATTTTAAAAGTGCTTATTTAACACCAGTGAAGAGATGAAGGGATCAAGAGATAGGACCTAGGTCAAGGTCAAGAAATACGACATTGCTGGTTTTCTAGAAGCTGCTCCCCACGCCCTACTGACTTCTGAGCACACCACACCTCCTACGAGAGGTAACTGCCGCCTCTGATGTTGTGTTTATTTGCTCTAGTGTGTCAGACCTCTGTGTGTGCGTGTCGCTGGACAGCTCATTCAGTTTGCCTGCCTCTGAGGCCCATGATGGGACCACACTGTGTGCATTCTGCCCTCGCTCTCTCCTTTCAGTCCACACTCCATGAGGCGCCGAGTCCGTGTCAGTGCTTCCATCTCACTCTTGGCTGAAGTCCGCACCTTCTCTATTTATCCATCCCCCTGTTGGTGGACAGGAGGAGTGTTTGTACCTTGCGATCATCATGAATAACCCTGCATGGACATTTGTACTGGGTGCCCTGGTATACACACGCTCCTCTAGAGCACATTCCAGGTATGAAACTGCTGAATTCTTGAGAATGCCTGTCATCAGCTTCTCACTGATGGAGGAACTCGTTACCGGAGCAGTAGTACTGGCTTCTCCCGACCCACGGTGATGAGTCGCAAGTCCAGCACTCTTTCCATCTCAGAAATCACTGGGGCACACTGGCCTGCAGGGGAGGGACAAGCAGGCTTCCACTCTGCCCCAGTGTAGAAGGCTCATGGGCCTGTGTCTTCAGATCACTAACACCCCAAAACAAAAGCTTGTGTGGGCAGAGAATGCTGCCTGCTGTTGGGTTGGGTCCTTTTCTCATGCAGATAGTCAAGCAGAGACCTGTTCTGAGTCTCACAGAGGTGGGTGAGGCATGGTCTTGTGTTCTCCGGCTCCCCAAAGTGTAGTTCAGAAGACCAGGGCTGGAAGGCCTCCTGCAGACATGACCAGGCCGGGGCACTGCTTTCCTGGCCATCATCCCCCGCCTTGGGCTCGCTCTCTGGAGGCAGAGTTGTTCTGCGTCTGGAGCAGCTCCATCTCCATCAGGTCCAGGGAACTGACGCAGTTTGAGGGGAAGAGATCTTGGAGCATTGTGCCCAGCAGTGTCCCGGCTGTGCCATCAGGGTGACTGCCCCACAAAGAGTGTCTGGAGCAGGGCTGGGTTCCCTGGGGCAGAATCAGCAAGGTGTCTGCAGCCTGGGGGTAAGAACTCTTTGAGGGCCTACCTAGGCCATAAATCCCGTTCATATCTTTTTCTCGTGACTCTGAACGTTTGAAGACACTGTTGGTGGTTGGCCCAAAGTTCATTTCTGTTCTCAGACTTCATCAGAATCCCCTGGAAGACCACATTAAAGCAGATTTCTGGGGGTTAAAACACAGATGGCTAGGCCGCTCCCCAGAGTTTCTGATTCAGTGGGTCTGGGTAGGGCTCGCAAATTTGCCTTTTCTGACCAGTGGCGCTGGCCCTGCTGGCCGTGGGAGCACACACTGAGCCGCGGTCTGGTCCATCTGGTCCACCAGCGTCACTGGTCCTGCTGGCCATGGGAGCACACACTGAGCCGCGTTCCAGTCCGCCCTCCAGCTGAAGTGAGAGCTGGCTGCTTGTGACATGTAATGGTGCACCTTAGTGTGTATTTGGAAAATCTACTCAGGTTGAATTGCAAGTTCCCCAGATGTTCAGCACTCCTGCTTGACATAAACTTGGCTTGTTCTGTGTCCTTAACTTTAAGGTTTCTGCTCAGGAGCCCATGAAATTAAAAATTACCTTCTCTGCTGCATCAGTTTTACTGCAATAATGCACATAAACACGTGGTGCACCGTGATTAAATTAAGGAGCTTAAATTAAAAGCAAATTTCCTTGTTCAGAAAGCCATCTGTTGATCGTTGGGCTTAATTAAAATGTGGTGCATCATATATGTACTTTGACTCCCTGCCTCCCTCCACTGTGATGACTCCTTGCCTAGGAGCTGATTAAAGTATCCATAAAGCTAGCACAGTGCCTGGCTTGTGCTAAACTATACAAGTGAGATTGCCCTATGTCTAAAGGCACAGGTATGCAGACTTAAAAAAATTAATAAAGTTCAAGAGTAAAATCTTTTTTGAGGAAAAGCTGAAGCCCTGACTTGTGTGCGCTCCTGCACACGAAGGCAGTGTGATGGACCAGACCAGGCTGCTCTCTTCGTCTCCAAGGACCAATAGCGCTAGTTGTGCAGGTGACACCGCTGACACCAGGCCGTGTGTGGAGGACCTGCCAGCACCCATTTGGGCTTGTTCTGTTTCCAGAACCACACACAGAGGCCAGCTTGGACGGTAGTACTGAGAATACTGAGGCCGGCTGGCATCTATCTGCTGGTCATTCCTGTGAGAAAACTGAGAATTTGAGAGCTGTGCAATCAAATGATTGCTTAGAAGAATGATGTTTGAGCTGTTTAGATTATTATGTGGGGCTCCTGGTGACGGGATCACATCAGGGTCTGTGATAACTCATTTCTAAGAGATCTTGTCAAGTTCTGTGCCCCATCCAGTGCCCTTCCCCCTGCCAGCCCAACCCTTTGCTGGCCATAAGGCTGAAAATCCTATACACCCTAAGGGGGAATAGAAATCCCCCTTCCTGTCTCTTCCTGAAAGGTGATCCCCCTCTGAGGAATTGAGACCTGGGTTTGGCATAGAGATGAGATGTGGTTTTGCCTTCAGAAGTTTGTCTTTATTTAGTGTGTTTTGGGCAGAGGGGTGTGTAAATATAAACTACGTACACAATTGTTTCTGATTCTGTTACGCTAACAGCTGTGGTTGTGGGTGAGCCCAACAGCCCTTCCCAGGGCTGCATTTCCTCAGACACCCACCCATTCTCCTGAGTTGTCATTGGTTTATATGGCATTTGCACACTTCTGATGAAATGTTTGTAAACCAGGTGTAAAAGACAGTGGCCCGCACACTTGTTAATTTTGTCCCACTGGGAAGGACACAAAGCTGGGGTTGGCTGATGGGCCCTCGGCAGAGGATGGGCCTGGTTTGGGGAAGGCTGGAGCCTGCTGCAGGAATCTGAGTCAGAACTATATTAGACTCCCACCATCTGCAGAGCTTTCTGGGGGTGAGCGGGTAAGCATGGCCCAACCTGGCCTACAGTGTCATGGAGGAGACAGGACACGCATGTGAAGTGTTCATCGCAGTCATTACTGGGACTCACTGTGCTCCTGTTGCCAGGAGGCTGTTGATTTCAGCTATGGCTGCAGAGGAGCACCTTGTGTTGTTTGGGGACAGAAAGGCTGCTTCAGGGCAGAGACCTCTGAGTTGAGCCTAACAGGACAGCTGTCCGGGAGGGGAGGCAGAGGCTGGCTCCAAGGATAACACGTATGGGAGTGAAAATGGGACCTGAGGGGGACACACTATCATCTCACTGATTGGATCTGCAGGCAGGGCCAGATGGCATAGCCGTGACGGGCCACGTTGGGCATCTGGCTTTTATTCTGAGGTCACTGAGGGAGGCCAGTGTCCTTCCCCCTCCCTGTCAGCCACCTTGGCCACTTAGTGTCTCAGAACAGGCATGACCTTCCCCCCCTTTCCTCACTGATGCCCCCACTTCCCATCCTCTGCCACCTGCCCTGCCTCTCAGGTGGCCAGGCTCAGCACCAGTTTCTTGAGAGGACTTTCCTGACCTGCTGCACACTAACATCTAAGTCAGCCCACCCTCCTTATCATGCTCTCCTTTCTCTTCTTGGAGCTTACCCGTTTGCAGCGACGCCTCCGCCTCCTTCCTTATGCTTCTGCACCACACTGTCGCTTCTAGGCGAGCAGACCCCCTCAGAGCCCGCATGCTCTACACACACACCTGCCTGTGTCTGGGCACTGCCTGTCTGGCATGTGGTCCGTGTTCAAGAGATAATTGTTATTTATCCAGTTAATTGATCCTTTTTTTCACCAAAGAACATATCTCATTCATTGTCCTCATATTTATCAGTAAATTGGAAAGACAGCCAATTTTGATAGAAAAAATTGAATCTTCCTCAAATATCTTCACGTATATGTAATGTACTGACATAATCACAAATTTAAACATCTCAATAAAATCTGGGACTGAACTATAGTATACCCCTTCTGGGATATTATGAGCCAAGTTTAAAATGGAACCAGAATTCTCCACTGCTCTCAAAGTGTTTTTTTTTTAATAGGTAGAATCATAAAATTCTTGATGACTTGACTTCTAATAGTTGTAGAAGTCAGAGGAAGTGAGATTTCTAGCTGCTGCCAAGGTGCAGACCATTTTTTAAAATTCCCAGTTTTTCAAAAATAGTTTGGGAAATGACAAATGTGGCCCTTTCATCCAGGGGACACCAGGGCCGCACATGTGTGACGAGTCCTCAGTTTCCACATAATTGAAATGTGCTTAGCACTAAGGCTGTACTGATCGGCATTTGGTTCGTCCTGGACTCAGAGCACCAGGCCTGCAACTCCCTGGCTGCTCACATGAGGCGCCACCAGGGTGTGAAAGCAGGCCTGGTGCCTCCACTCGCAGCTGGGGCTCTGCTGCTGGGGTTTGCGGGGCTTCCCGACAAGTGCCCTGTCCATGCCCACTCATGACCCGTGTTCTCTTTCCTCCCCAGCCCAGTGACTTCTCTGTGTCTCTCAAAGCATCAGGGAAGAACAAACATTTCAAGGTGCAGCTCGTGGACAATGTCTACTGCATCGGGCAGCGGCGGTTTCACACGATGGACGAGCTGGTGGAACACTACAAAAAGGCTCCCATCTTCACCAGTGAGCGCGGGGAGAAGCTCTACCTCGTCAGAGCACTTCAGTGACGCCCCTGCAGCCCTGCCGCCTGCAGCTGGCAGTGCCACACTCACTTCTCCGAGCTGAGTGGACCTGCCCACGAGGAAGTCCTCCTGCACAGAAGTCCACTATGCCCGGTGGCTTGTGCTTTACTGGCCTCCTTTGCCTGGTTTCTCTTGCGGTCCAGGTCGGTTTGGTCTCTCTCGGCCATCCCGGGCCCTCACACCCACTCAAGCCTACCTGCTCCCTGGCCAGTTTTAGGGCTCAGAAGGTGGGAGAGGATGCGTTTGTTCACTTTATTCCTTCTCAACTGAAAGCAGCCTTAGTCTGTTCAAATTATTCATTCTAACAGAACCCCTCATTAAAAAGACATGGGGTGCAGTTTGAATGCACCGAAGCTGCTGTTGTGACTAAGAACTACACACAGTACCCTCCTGGCGCTGGCCGGGAGCTCTGGGCTCCCGTGCATACAGGCAGCACCGGTGAGGGGACCCAGTCCCCATGGCCCTTGGCCTGTGTCCTTTGTCCTTCCGTGGCTCCTGGACCCTCCAGGGAGTGAACACGTTTGCTTGTAGCAGTACTGGCACCACCCAGTGAGGTAGGAGGAACCTGCCGAGTGCCTTTGGGGCTGTGCTTGCAATAAAGAAATCCCTTCAAAGTCTGCAGAAGAGGGACCGGGGACTTGGAAAGACAGGTATTTTGGGAATTTATCCCCAGATGTGCCATCCACATAGTGCTTTTTCCTCTTGCCTCTGGCTTGTTTAAATTTCACAATTATGTATTTAATTCTCAAAATAATAGGTATCTATAGCCATTTGTTGACACTAATACAGATGATTAAGGAAAACAGTTATGTTATTTGCTTTACAGGGAAATTTTTCAGGGTTTACAAAAGAATATGTGATTAGTAGTAAGGGACACACAGAATGTTTATGAAGAAACTGCATATTCTTTTTTCTTTACATTTGAACTTCTTTATAGTTGAAATATACAGTCTTGAGATGGCACATTCCTACAGTTGAAGAAGGGGTCCTGAGACCTCCTAAACTTGCATACTCAGTTTTTTGGATATTGTAATAAAAAAGTATTATGACAAGACTTTGTGCATATCTATCTTTGGGGAAACTCAGACTCAATGCTGGAAGAGTAAGTGTTACTGTAGCCGTCCCTGAAGACCCAGCATCTAAAGGGAAACATTTTTAGAGGACTTCAAGAAATTTATTACCTGTGTGTTGTCTTTTTCTACCACCACATTTTTGTATATTGAAATAATAGATTTTAATTAGTGAAACTCTGAGAGAAACCAGAATCTCTCAAGCTTGGTCTTAACTTGACTCTTTGGAAATTATTGGCTAAAAAATATTTTACCAAACTGTTGTCAGTTAGGCTTCTTATCTCTGACTGTTGCTCTGGTCACTCGTCTCTTACTTCCGTCAGCTCAGTCTGTCATCACTGATGGAACAGTCACTGTGCGCCAGGCCCTGCGATAGCAGGTCACGTAACATGGTGCTCATGTGCCGGCTGATGGGTATGTGGTCACCATGGAGGTGGGTCCTGCTATCATCCCTGTTACACAGATGGAGAAAACGAGGCACAATGTAAGGGCATATGGTGTACATGGCAGGGCGGGTTACAGCCCCAGACCCCTGCCGTCAGAGCCACACCCATCAGTGCCAGCCTGGGAGGCTTCTGGAGAAGTAACTGTCTTCTGTGAAAGTTTGCACTTAATCTTCCATTCCCATTTTCTGTGAGTTAATTGTATCTTTCTGTTGCCTTTGATATAAGTTAGAAATTTAATCATAAAGTAGGAGACTGGGGACACCCAGTTAAGCACGAAGAGACACCTGGTGGATGAGGCAGACGGTTGCCTCGGAGCACAGCTGTCTGTACCTTACTCACGGAGACAGCAGTTCCCGCTAACTGTTCCAGGCTCATTGGTGTGTATTCTGCTGTGATCTCCTGCTAGAATCCCTCTATCCAGTGAGTGCCTGGACAGCTGGAAAACTGATGGACACACAGCAATTCCGGAAAAAGCACAAAGGACACATTACAGATACACATTTTGGCTTCAGGAACTTCTTTAGGGCTTATAGGTGTAATTGACAATTATTTGCAATCTTGTCCCAGGCCCCCATGGGAGGTCCTCCAGCTGCCTGGTCAGGATGAGTACTCAGAAGGTTCTGGGACACCTGGCACCAGGTGGACTGGGAGGGTGGGGGTGAGTTGATAACCAGTACGTGCCTGTTGGTAGAGCAGGGAAGTCAAGGCATGGTCCCCACGTGGTTCAAGTGTGGACCGCGATGCCCTTCTAGGTGTCGCTTCTGTCACCCCCTGCAGGTCCAGAGACACCCTGACAAATCTTATTTGCTGCTCCCTTGTCTCTCTGCACATGTGGTTGTGTGGCTGTGCTCAGCTCTTGGCGTTAACGGCACCTCATCTGTCATAAACGGCCCTGCTGGTTACAGTGCAGAACTACCCAGTCCTTCCTACACACTTACGCCAAATGCCATTAAATCGTTTCTGAGGAGCTGAAACTGTCTTTCTTTTCTCCCAAAGTGCATCACAAATTAGTCTTAAATTATAACTAAAGTACTTCTACCAAAATGGAAGTTTTCAAACAAAGCATTTTTGGTGCCAGTATCATTTTGTCTTTGGTTTCTGTGTTAACTGGTTTCTAGTACTTTTCTGTTTGTACCATCCAGTGCCACAATGCCAAAGTAAGACCAGAGTTCAGAACTGAGAGGATAGAAAAGGTTGAAAGCATTTTTAGAAACACTATTTTCATAGATACAGGTCTGGTTTTGGCCATGTTCTCACTAGAAGCCAGATGATTCATTTTTTTGGTGGATGACCTGTGATTAATGTGGTCATTGGGTTCTAGCACCCTGTGGGGAGCTGTCTATAGCCCTTAGGCAGCGGCCCCACCCGGGTGTCAATGCTCCGCCCAAAGCAGGCTTACAGGGCTCTCCGAGTCGGCACTGGGCCTTCTAACGGTCCGGCTTCGCCACGTCTGTCTGCTCATGAGTACATGGGGCCGCTCTGTGCCACAGCCGGTGGGTTGTGAGGATACCCTGCAGGAGAGCATCTGTAGGACAAGCTGCACATTGATGCAGCTGGGCCTGCTGTGTGTCATGTTGTCTCGCTGACGTCTTTGCTCACTTGCTGGGAGCGCACCCCTGTGAGCCATGGCTTCTGCACTGCCCCCAGGCGAGCTCCAGTGCCCATCACACCCGCTGTGGTCTCTCCCTAGCAGTCTCGGCCAATCGCCTCCTTTCTCAGAGCTTGGACTCCTCAGGTACTGGGAGAGGACGTTCAACAAATCCTCATAAATGCATGGCCATCATCAGAAGGCCAGCCAGCAGACGTACTCAGAGCCATTCTCCCCCATTCTCACTCAGGTACTTGGCGAATTCACAGCCCCAAGAGTGGTCCTCTCGAGGGGAAAACGTCCTTTGTTTCCTCCTTGGTGGGGGGTGGGGAGGTGTATGGTGGCACCCCCTGTTTCTTGGGAGCATGTCCTTGTGTGTCTTGGCTTGAGCTAACAGCACAAGAGCCATTGAGTTGTGGGCAAAAGTTGAACATGCCAACTAATGTTCAGAAAGCGCTGCCTGTGCCTGAGCTCAGGCTGCTGGGCTGCTGTAGTGAAGTATAAAGTGAGTGGCAATAACAGATGTGTTTTATTGGAGGCTGGAAGTGTAAGATTGGGGTGCCAGCACGGTCAGGTTCTGGTGAAGGCCCTCCTTCCAGGCTGTAGACACCTGGCTTGGGTCCTCAAATGGTGGAAAGAGCCCATGAGCTGTGTGGGTGCTTTTGTGGGCACTTAGCCCATCTGTGTGAGGGCTCCTCCCTCGTGACCTAATGGCCCCTGGAAGGCCCTACTCCGCTGCCATCACACTGGGGATTAAACATTAACATGAATTTTGGGGGGATGCAAACAGTTCCTGATGCCCTCTTCTGAACAGATATACCCCACTGCCCTGAGGAAACTGCCCATTGCTGTTCTGAGTGCAGCTCACTCAGACCTAGAGGGGTTACAGTCCAGACATCGGAAGGTTCTCAGCCACTTGGATTCCAGTTCAGTCTGCATTTTTAACACACTTCCTGGAGACTCAGATGCATGGGGCCTGCACGTAGTCTACTCAAAATCTGTAGGGAAGTGGCCTGCCTGCACCTGTGCATGCTCTCACACTGCTGACAACATACACCTGTACAGCGCTCCTTTCTTTGGGTTGTACAGAGAAATATCTGACTTTGAATGACTTGAATAGTCTTTTTTTAAAACCCTTATTTGCCTTAACCTCCATCTGGGTTGCTTCTGTCACAGCTCCTGATCCTACAAGCTAACTGGAAGGATCATGTCCCATGCTTAGTGGGTCCCGTTACTTGACAGCCACTTATGACTGAAGATGGATGAGCCTGGCAGCTGGTATGGAAGCTCATTCTGACAGCTTTTTAAATGCATGGCCTCTCGGCCAGGGGATGGGCATTTGGCCAACTCCTCAACTCAGGCACCAGGTTCTGCAGCCAAAGGCAGAAGCCAGAGGGCCAGGGCCTTGTACTTGGGCTCCTCTGCTGGGTGAGGGCATGTGGCCTCCAAGAACAGGCCAGAGCCTGGGTCAGCTCTAAATCCAACCTACCTTTCCGGTCATCGAACACTTTGGCATTCAGCCTGGGTCTCAGCCTGAACCCTGCCCCTCTCCAGCAGCGTGGCCTCAGCAAGTGCCCAAACCTCTGTGCCTTAGCGGCCCCAGGAGCTCCAGCACAGAGCTTCACTTTACACAGCCACTAAAGGGTCATATTGTGAGTGTTAAGATAGTATTATACATGCAGATGAGGTAGGCTGCTTTGCATAGTAATGGGAAGTGCTCAGAACCTTTGTACAGCTTGTTACAGGATCTTAATGAAAAGGGAAAGAACAGATTAATATGCTAAATTACTATCTAACTGAAGCCTGTAATCAAACTTCCAGACCACATGTACTTGTAGAAGCACTGAGCACTGTATTCACATGATTTCAGCCAAGAGCTCCAGCTAAACACAGGTGAAATTCAGAGCCGGCGGTGTGCACTCCTAGGAAGGCGGGGAGTCCCCCTGCAGAGCCAACAGTAGCAGGGAATAAAAAGGACAGCATGGCCTCGAAGTACAGAGACCGATTAAAACACCGGCCGGACCAGAATGTAGACACCTAGACAGCACCCAAAATTCATCACAGGGGCCATGAAGTGCTGGTGGCTTTGCTCCTCGAGCTCTTTGGGGGTGGTCACCCATTCTGTAGTGCAGACTGGGGGTGGCTGCAATGCATCTTTAGGGGTGCTTTTATTTTTTCTGAGGTGGGGATGGTGATACTGGTTACAAAGTGATCTAGAAATCATTTAAAGGAATGGGAGACATTTTATTTTCTTATACTTTCTAGGGAATTTCCCAGATATGGATATGAATTATCTGAGAAAACTACATTTAACAAAATTCTTAAGTATTTTAAATTGCATGGAGCAAAACTGGATGAATAAAAACCAGTGCTCAATTGGTTGTACTGGATGTAGAAAAATATTTAGACGATTTCTGCTATGGCCTTTGCTTGGTTTCCTGGTGGCACTAGAAAATAATTTTATCTTTAGCCAATATTTTCATCAAAAACTGCCTGTTAAAATCATGATTGCCAAATTAAAAAATGCAGTGAAGTCCATTAACCCTATGTTATGTTGCAGAATGCTGAGTTCATATTCTGGGTTGTCTGGAAAAGTTTCTGGACAAGCTACCTTCTCAGTGAAGCCTACCCTGACCACTCTGATCTCCTTATTCTGCTGTTTATTTCCCACAATACTTAACCAATTTCCAACTGGATAA